CCGGCCAGATTAACCCAGGACACTTTATTCATTATGGGTTCTCATGCTCACAAAGTCAGTTTTACCAAGTAGTTTTTAAATGTTTTTGATATATATATATAAAAAAGTAGATACCTTGAACAGATTATATAATATAAGCAGTTAATTTAGCTACCAATAGGTACAGATACAGGTACCCATGTAATATACATAGGTATAATAATTAAACTGCCAAGAAATCTTAGTTAAAGCTGCTTTGATTCTGACAAAATGTAACAGTTTCAGGATGCTATGCTTACAGCATCCTGAAGAAGGATAATGAGCCCCTTCCAATAATAAAAATTAAGATTGAAAATTTATTTCTTGTCCTATGCTTCATTGGCAGGACTTATGAGATATTAAAATATATGTTTTATCATAAATTTAAAAAAAAAACAGCTCTCGGGATTTAATCTTACATGAAAAAAAAATATTGGTCTGGTCTTGGATCTGTGTATATGGATAGGTATTAATTATTTTCTGCTTTTCACATTAATTATGATAGTGCATACTCCTATTTGACTCACAGTTGAGAGGTGTAACAGTCAGTTTTCTTATTTATTTTTTCAACATTTTTAATTTAATTACAATAATTAATTGCTTTAAGATGTGATGAGAAGCATGTTCTAATGGTTGCAGCTGCTTACAAATAGTAAGAAAAAAACTTTGGTGATTAAAAAGATTATTGCCCTTGATTTGAGAACTGGCAGTAAATGTTAATTTTCTGACGTTCATAAGTACATTTAGTTACACACATGAATAAATAGTATTTTTGATTTTGATTTAAGGTTCTCGGATTGGGCAATTCAAGAGGTCGTTTATACACGAGACACGCGGATTTACTGAGGTATCCAGCAGACAGCGCTGACAAAGAATGGATTGCAAGTCACAATCTTGTGAATGCTGTCGGAGGCAAAACTTACATCATGGTATGAGATTTGTGCCGTTAATACTTAGTAGAAGATAGATAATATTTAACTTTAAAACAGAGTTTTTAACTTGTAATGCAAACCCTAATTTAGTTATCCTTCACATCCATGATTTCAGATACTTTTTAAGAAATAAAAATAAAATATGTTTATTATGGAATATAAGATACAAGTATCACTTACTCCACGTCACTAACTTTTAACTATATAAATGCTAAATTCTGTGAAAATAGAAAACAATACTAAATATTGAATTAGGTTTAAAGAAGTTTATTCTCATTATAAACATACATGTCACTTTTGTGAAAAAAATAAATAAAAAGTTATAGATATCACGCCAGCGTCATACGGTGTTATTGCAGTCTTCTATTAAAACAAATATTAGAAGCCATAAAAATGCGTCCCGTTTATTAAAAAGGCAAAATAAAATTCTTTAATTAATTATGTACCTATTTATTTTTGATAACTCTATATTTCTCCAGGTTTTAGAAGATATAGAGGAACTGGCTCATAGTGATGCATACAAGCACAATTCGTTGCCCTTACTTGGCGAGCTGACCGGTTTCAAAGTACCACTATTTATGTTGAGGAAGATAAAGGCATATGTTCTTAAGAGAGCTCTGAGCGGGGATCTAAACGCCGATAGCCCACAGCCAACAATGAGTAATCAAGAGGACAAATTCAAAATTGATGATATAAAAATCGAGGCACACGACGACTTCGATTCTGCCAACTTCAACGCCAGTCAGTATATGAACAATTCAGATGGCGCAGGCGTCGCAAACGATAACGACTTCGCCGATATAAAAGTCGAAGATATAGATGACATTAAAGTGGATGGAATCAAAATGGAAGATCTGGATGAGATGAAGGTTGATGGAATCAAAGTGGAAGATCTGGAAGCGAACGGTATTAAAGTTGAAAATATAGACGATATCAATGTTGATACGATCAAAGTTGAAGACATCAAACTCGAGAATGATGAATTTGATTTGTGTAAGGATAATGATGAGAACAGTCTGGTCGATGGGTTGCTTGAGGCGGATATTGAGTTCCTGAGCCGGAACTTGGGGGATATTGAAAGTGACGCAGATGCAAGAAAGACAATTGAGAAGTTGACAGGTGTCAATCCGGACACAATTACTTTGGTTGGTGACGAATTTGACATCGGAAGTACACTTAATAGCAACGTAAGTTTTGAATTCTTTGATTTATCTTTTTTCGATATATAATAATTTTTAATAATACTTCCAATTATTCCTTCTATAACTGTTATTGAAATATATTTTTTTAGGTTTAAATAACTAAACCGTTGGTTTAAACAATTTGATTTAGGTTTTAATGGTCCAAAGCGCGTATTTTTATTTTACAATATAAAATAACTCCAAATATTATTACAAATGCCGTGTAAACTTCTTTAACTAAACTTGGTTTAAAGAGTCTTAAGAGGCGAAAGAGGCGATAAAAAAGAGTGTCGGAGAGTTTATTGCCAGTTCTTCTCTTCCGTTCTACGCCCTTGATTTGAGAACTGGCACTAATTGTAAAATTAGAAGCATTTAATTTAATTATATTTATTTTTGAGGTTCATAAGTGTACATTGTGTTACCGAATAAGTGATTTTTGACTTTGACTTTTGACTTTAAAACGTCAAAACTACTTTGTTCCTGGTTTTTTTTTGTCCTTCCAATGAAACGTTTTTTTCTATATAACAATATCTCTCTATAAGATGTCTTATACATAATCCTCTGTTTTGGTTGTAAAATCGATAATCTATAAAATATTACTAGTATAATCTAAAATTGGAAGTGTTATATTTTTATTCTTAAATCTATTGTAAGAATATATTGTAACAAATACATTATATAACATATACCGTGGGATGAACTTTAATGAATAAATTTGTCAGCTTTATAGATTTTAACACCATTTGAAATAATTTTTGTAAATAACTTATCTAACCAGTATGAAACAGTTTTCAGGCAGTCAAAACACAAAGTGCATAACAGTAGCATCAACCACCAGTGGTATGGTGCACAGTGTCCCCGTGGCCCATTTGGCCCCGGGCCGTATCGGCAGTACAGTGCACTACTACACAAGTGGCACGGTCCAAGGCCAGAGGACTGTCCATCATTTGCCTCAAGCCACTGTCACTATACAAAGCATACCGGCGTCTGCGTCTCAAGTTATTCGCGGGTATGTACTTTTAAAGTAGAGTAAAGAGGAGTGTGAGGATATGAAAAGGAATGCTTAGGTAGTAGAACCGATGAATGAGAAGCGGTTAACAAGTAGGATATACAAGGCAACCGTGGATGGTGAGGTTGGGTTGGATAGGCCTAGTCTTACCTGGACCAAATCCAGGACATACTAGAGAAAGGACAAAAGTACCCATAACTGACGAGTATGCTTGGTGAATGTTAATGTGGATGAAGTGAAAGAGGTATGTCAGGGCCGTAGCAAGTCAAGATCCGTGGGGTCTGCCACTCCTTCGGAGAAAACGGCTTGAATGTGTATAATAATGTGTATAAAGTCGGTTTATGGATGATAGCAACGTGACGTCATAACAAAACATTGTTGAAATGTTTGAATACTTAAGTCTTCGAGTGGAAGAGTGATTGAAGCGTACGATGAGCGTATCGGGATATTGAGCGTAATGGGACAATGAGCGTATCGGAACAATGAGCGTAGCGGGATAACGAGTGCGTGTAGCCGGCGTTCATCGATTTATTGCGTTGTCACGTCAATAAATATTTTTCTATGGCAAAGTGGCGAATGTATTCTGAAATATATTTACTTTTTCTGTTTATATATATCATTTATTAATGTGCTATATACATAAAACACTTCTCAACCTTAGCCTCTGGGGCCTTCGGACCAGTCAGTAGTTAGACTGGTCGATGATCCTCCCTTCAGGTTGGTGGAACTGTTCACCATCCTTCCTCCATAACGGGACTCGTTTGGAAAACGCAAATTTTTAAAATGTATTCAAATTTTTTAACTGAAACTTTTTAATGTATGTATTTCTAAAAATCATTAGGAAAATTTTCCCGATCACTTTTCTTGATGTTTGGGGCTAAGGCTTGCGTGAGTAAACAACACTTTAAAAAATCTTCTACGGATATAAACACGAATTTAAGACATGACTGTCTCTTAGTTGTAAATAATGATATATATTTGCCTTATTTTTATTTTTATATGTATTAGGAGGCAAACACGCAGGTGGCTTGATGTTAAATGAAACCGCCGCCCATGGACACTCACATTGCCAGAAGGCTTGCAAGTGCGTTGCTGGCTTTTCTTAAAGAACCCTAAGTCGAATTAGTTCGGAAATACTTTAGTGGGCAGCTGGTTCCACATAGTGGTGGTGCGCGGCCCTGCCTTAGAAACGTTTAGTTGTGGAACGACGTATAACACTTAAGAGCACTTATTATTATATATCATTTACAATATAAAAAATTTTCAGCATTCCAATCAACGCCAAGTCTGGGACCATTAGTACTGTGATGTCTCAGGGTACGGCCAACACGATCATCGGTTTTGGAACTCACAACTCGACCATCATCACTCCAGGACAATACAACGTGACGAAATCGTTTCCCAATGGCAACATTCTCCATAACGCGATAATGTCCAAAACCCAGAATTCAGGTATTTCCTTTTCAGTCCAGCCGGTCACGACTCCCAAGTCGGACTTCGACATCTCCACGACCAAGGAAATGATCGACAACGCTTGTAATTCCTCGGTTATGTTGAAGAAGGTTCTGACGTTGGGCAGTGCGGGTTCAGGCAAGTCTTTCATAATGCATAACACCCAAAAGGTTCTTTCTACCGGGTTCGCGACGGGTTCCACACCGCCACCTAATGTGACGATAGTTAGTTCTGGTCCTGGGCTCTTGAACAGTCTGGGAAATTCTACTATTGTGTGCCCTGGTAATGGCAATTTAAGTGCGACTCACGCAACTTTGTCAGCGCTTTTGGCTTCAAGCGCTGAGAAGGCTCAGGCAAATAAAAAATGATTTTTAAATCTAGAAAGTTCGTGAAATTATATATATTCCTTGTAAGTTATTTTAGTTAGTCCCAGCGATATTTAATTTAGCTTGTACTAAAGCTTATTCATTTTATTCGCCGAACTTAGTCTTAAGCCATTTACTCGCTCATAAAGCTTTATTGAATAGTGTTGTATTACTTATCTGTGGTTGGATATTGTGACAACTGTCAACTGCCAAAATTAATAGATTACAAGACTTATAGGTGATAGTGCTAGGTTTGCAATGTTCATAGTAGGATTACAGATACTGAAACTTGAATCGTTACTTGAATATTATTGAATTGGGTTGTATTTATTATCTGTGGTTAAATATAGTGACAACTGTCAACTGCCAAAATTAATGGATGACAAGACTTATAGCGATTGCAATTTTCATAGTAGGATTACAGATACTGAAACTTGAATTGTACAATGCATCTTATTAAGCAGTACATATTTACAAAATAATTTCCTGCTATTATTTTGCGAGAAGATTGTTATTTTTATAAGCATTTTTGACTGTTTCATGTTATCTACCTCGTTAAGTTACCTGATTCTATACATTAGTTACTACTAGACTAAGTTTATGGTTATTTTAGCTTGTTTCGTTTATAAAATAGTTTTAATATCCGCCTATTTATTTAAAAAAATATTCATATCTACTACAAGTAGCGGCACGAAACTCTAGCGCTGACCGTTATTGCGCAGAAGTAAAAAATAAGGTACCTGAGGGGGGGCTAGCGGGCGCGCGTAGCGTCGATTGGCTCTCCAGTCGCATTCCGTCCCCCGCGCGACAGTACACATGCGCAGCAATCCCCTCCACGTATCGGCCAGCGCTAGACTTACGTGCCGCTGCCTATACGTGTCGTTATTTTTACTATAGATTGTGTCAAATGCGCTATAGTAAAACGACTCGTTGCAGATACCGCTGGTAGGTTTAACTAGGCGTTTTGTCATTCGTCTCAGACGTTTTTAAGTAATATTATCAGCCTTCTAAAACGTGGACTAAATTTTGCAGGGTTGTTGCTATGGTTACCCTTATTTTTATTTGGAAATAATATTGTTGCTATGGTAACAAATACTGTAATAATATTAGTGCATGATTTATAAGGCCAAACTTTCGTTTGACAGTTTATTTTGATACGTGGTTGTTTCGCTTTAAGCTTTAATTTTTGACTGATTTAGAAGTGTTTGAACTTTTTACAAATTCTATGGCTGTGCTATTTTTTATAATTATACGCTTATGTAAGTTAAATTAGCTTTTATGAGTGGCATATTTGCTTTATTCTATTTTTATGTGATTTCGATAGGCTATGAAATTTATTTATTATTTATTTATTTTAATTATGTGACAAAGAGTGGGAATAATACATTTTTATATGAAAAACTTGAGTAGCGCTCCGTCAGCGTGTTAGGAACTAATGTATACTCTGATTTTTCATTCCGTAGAATTCTGACATTTCATAAGTGTTGCTACTTAAAAAGTTATCCACCGAAAAAGGGACAAATATGACTTATTTGAGGGCAATAAAAAAATGCTACGTATCCTATATGTTTTACCTACAATATGAAAAATCTAAGTATTTACTTACTCAAGTGACCTAATACAAAAATAACATATATTTCAATATCACGAACAATATATCGAATAAACTTTAATTACTTTATTTTATTCTTTAGCTTGCATCACTGCCTACTAATTCCAGGTTTAGTAAACCATTAAAAAAAATGTTATCTTTACTTGTGCGTTTTTTACTATTTGTGATGAAAAGGGACGTAATTATCACTCGCCGTTAAAACACTTTTAATGTGGAGCACCGCACTTAATAAAATGGATACATTAACCAACAATAAATGTATGTATAGATAGACTCAGATGTTCAGACTCGTATTGAAATTGAAAAATGTGCCCGGCCAAAAAGGTTTACCATCTACCATTATGACATGTCAAAAAATGATAGTTGTCAGAATTCTACGGAATTAAAAATCAGAGTATTTATGTGCGTTCGAACAAATATAAACCTAAATTAAAGTCTGAGCAATATAATTATTTAAATACAGGCGTGTACTGGGTTTATGTTTGCACTTTAAATGGCCTATACAATTGCAATGTTTCGTCTATTAAGTGCATTTTTTAAATATTAAAAATATAACCCACCTTTCTGCCCTAGTCTTTGTTTCATACAGAAATGCAAATCATGATGTGTTGGTATATATTGTATTAATAAATTGTGCTAACAATTTGGTATTATCATGATGAGTCTAATTTATAGAATTCCTGTTTTTATTATATACTAGATTAGGAACGTATATAAACTTTTCCGGTTTTTACTACAGAAAAATATGGAAATTATTGCGATACTTTATGTAATGCATATTTTTTTTAATTTATGTATTAAATCAAAGAAAATTCATTTTTTTAAAGAACCTTAAATTTGTAATAGTTTATTCTCTTTTTATAATTTTAGCTTTTTACACATTGTGTTTTGTAAGTGAAATCATTTATTTTAATTATGCCTATTAAAAAGGCACTTTTGAAAGTCAAAATTACAACTTTAAAAAAATTAAAAAAATGACTAGTTCCACAAGGTAGTTTCATATGAATAAGAATGAGCAAGAAACTCTATACTTACTCTTTTAAATTAGATTTTACAATATTTTGTATACATTGATTTGATAATTATATGTGAATACTATGTATCTGGAACAAAAAACTGCTATTCCAAAATAAAATAGGCGCATGGTGTTCTTATGTAGATACATTGTGCTCACATATTTACAATTCATTTTTTTGATTTTTAATATTTTTTATCACTCGTACTGGTACATTATCTATAGATGTACTTTTTATCCGTACATGAGATCAACAAAGTATATGATAATATAATATGTTTGTATGAACTAGGGGCAATCATACATATTCTCCGATCGATGCCTGTATTTTACGTTATAAATAAATATCTCGCAGTGATCGAACCTTTCCCAACCCCCTTTTTCTTAGATAAGGAAAAAGAGAATGGACTTGATTTATCGTAACCTAGTCTAATTCAATTTTAGCCTGCGTTTAGGGCTCATAGGGGATGCTGAAGTCATGACATGTCAAAGTATGTGTCCTATAAGTCAAAATTTATTCGATTTAACATGTACTAAGCGCTAGGTATCGACTCTGAAACTTCCCTATCAGTGAGTTTTTATTTTATGCTTTTGTGCAATTTTAGCTTGGCGCAAGCTTGCAATTCTTGAGTGGCAAATGCTTTATTATTTTTATATTCCAGCTATGCAATAAATTTTTAAATAAGCCATTTTGAATAATTTTTTAGAATAAGTTAGGATTAGAATACGAATATTGATCTCTTTTAATCAAATTTCGGTGTTAAAAATCGTTAGGAATTCAAATAACGTGATTTGACGTTAAACCGCTTACATGTCACTTGTCATATTCATTCATAGATTAAAAATAAATTCCTCAATATATCGTAGACTACAGAGGTAGGTGATTTATTTTATATAAAAATATTATGTCCTATTTAACTTGTACTGTGTAAATTTGACAATTGAATTCCTGTCATAATTAATATTCCTCACTTCGTACCTATTGTTTGTTAGTGTATTATGGCTGTGTCAAAATTTTAACTCTAATCTTATAGTTACTTTAATTAAACGGAAGGTAGCGCCAGCATTTAGACGGTTTCACTTTCTTTTCAACTAACTCATAATCTGGTCTAGTGATTATCACTTGCAGAAGCTAGGAATGCGGGTCGAAAAAATCAGTGGCTGTCCTTGTACTGTACATGATTGTCTTATGGACTTTAAGGGTTACACGGCCCTAAAATCAATGGCGATATCGGGACAATGGTGTTGGGATCAAATCATAGTTTGAATCGGCAGTAGCATACTCTACACTCTTCTATTAGGGTACGATTTGCCTACACACTCTCCTCCACTTCCCCGATATTGCCTCTGATTTTAGGGCCCTGTGTAGACGCCTTTAGAGATATGTAGAGACTATTAAAATTAGTTTTAAGACTCGAGTTCTCATCGGTGTCTTATCATTTCAGCGTAAACACAATTCGACTGAAAGAGACAAAAGAGTACTTTGGTTATAGGTTCAAGTATTACGTAAACAGATTTACTGCAATTTATTTCCCCCCGCTCCTCCGCTTGTCAGCAAAAGTAAGCAAAGCACTCCAAAATAATAGTACATAAACATATTAACTTTTTGTAGGAATCCTCAAAATGCATCACGTTTTCAAGCATAGACAATGTGTGGTAATATGTGTAAAAAAGTAAATAATTACTGTTGACGTAATCACCAAATAAGAAAATCAAAGACCCTCCCCCTAGAGTGCTTACGTAATACTTGAACGGCCCCATAACAGTGCAATTGAACTAATAGTTTCTATAAGGGAAGATATACTTCTGGCCCGAAAACACTAGGTACTCTAAAAGATTATTTATAATAAGCATTAACAGATTTAAGGAAAATTTTCACTACCTTCCGTATTAATAAATAATCGGACGATGTCCCTAGGTTTACATTGGAAAGTTTTTCTTGTAAAATGTGAAATCTTATTGGTGTTGTGACCATGTTGTGACACGGTTGTGTTTATAATAAGGCTTCCGGCTTAATCGTTGTAATAATGGTAGGCGAAACTTAGAATTTTCCGTTAGATTTCTAGTTTATTGTCATAGTGATTCATTAGATGTAATCTTTTGATTGATCTTGATGTGTTCTAAGGCTGAGCCAATCTCTGATAAATTAAGACGCCGTAATAGCGTATTCCGATTCTGTAGCTGAATTTAAAAAGTATAAAATGTTAGCGTTTTTCGTTTGTTTTCCATGGTTTTACGTTAAGATTCGTAGGATTTCTCACAAATACGCAGATATAAAGTTTGAATACTTTGGCAGCTATAGAGATATCATAGAGATGTTTGTCGAGCGTGTTCTGTGGTATTCGTTTTTGACAATTCAATTGTTATTGATATAAC